CCCACAGTCATGGACACACAACATATCCAAGGAGAAGGAGTTCCTCCGCAAGCTGGTGAAAGCCAACGTCATCACAGACCTGACCAACGGTATCTGAGTTTACACCCACCCACAGTCTCCTTCTGCCTTCCCCAAAGGACTACTAAACAGGAAGCGGGGAAGCGGATCGACTCTGGGAGAAAGAACCCTTAGAACCCGGGTGGCCTGCACACCGTCTGGGTTTTCATATCAAAGGAGATTATTAAAATTATTTCTGTGGAGAGATGCACACATGTGCCTTCTGAACCAAAGACTCCTGCTGATTGTAGCAGGGAGGATGAGGAGTGAGGATGAGGGGGGGGCGACCATGGGGAGAACTGGATCTGCCTGGTTCCTGTCTTATCAGGAGACAGTTGCAGGAAAGCTCTACCGGCCCCATGCTTCATCAATTACCACATTGACCCCCCACCCAAAGTATCACATGAATGAATAGGAAGAGCAGAGGTGACATATTGACATAGAGATGTCAGGATTTATCTCAACTTGCTAACTCAACGAAGGGACAGAGGAGAAAGGAATGAAAAGAGGACTGTAAGAGAGCGTGTGCGGGGATGGGTTGAGTATTAGCAGTGCCAAACGTACCTCGTACAGGGGAGAGGCGGTCGTCCTCTCCTTTTGCTGCCTGAATGTATTCACTTTCCTCAGTGTAAATATCAAAGATTTTTACTATGCTTTTTAACAAGCTGCAGCACCCCTCTTCTCCAAGTCCCACCCTCCGCCTGCTGTTTGTCCATTCATTTATTCACTTTTTACTGTCTGTCCAGGGTCCAAAATGAACACTTGCCAAGCCAGATGACAGTAGATAAATCAACAAGGATCACCTTCCACTCAGACTGGTATCACTTGAGAAATTCAAGTGTTTCATTAATATACAGACTTTTTGCAGTTTCCTCTGTGAAGTATTTTGTCTGTAAGGGAATTCTATTAGTGACTCTATAAACCAGGTTGAAGCTGGCTCTACACAGAGTAGTTGTGTGTGTTTTTCTGGTGTCTGGATGGTTAGTTATCCCCTTGTGGCTGAGAGATCAGACAGATCCAAATTAAATCTGAATACAGAAAAATTATTTTTTAAAGTGTTTATAAGTTTTCTATCAAAACTCTAAATCTGTTTGTTTTAAAAATATAATAACTTTGTTCTCACTAAATAACATTGGAAGCATGTATCAGGAATAATGTATATTCATTATTTTGGTCAGTCTAAATTATTTTTGTGGGACTATTTTTGTTTTGTTTACCAGCTCTCGCAGGTGAGCCCAAAAGTTAGATTAAGACACTGCATCTCTCCCTCTCTTCCGGTCTCTTTGTAAATCCTTCCTCCTCCAGGTTCATTCATGTCACAGTACTGTCTTCATCACTTCATCAGCTGTGAGCCTCCAGGCTACAGCGTAGACATACAATAACGTGTCCTGCCCTGGTGAGAGCAGGTTCTGTATGTCAGAACCCTTTCCAACCTCCTGTTGCTGCAGATTTACTTGTTCTTCAGTAAATGGTGAAATCTCGGATTGTAGAATATAAATATATATATTTTTGTTTTTAGGTTAATTATTTATTTTGTTACAAAGTCCCAGCGTTTTGGTCACAGGCAGGCCTGCTTCCTGTTGTTTCTGTTCAGATAAAACACAAAAAGTTTGAATTTGTGTTTTCGAATCCACCACCATGTGCTTCCTCAGAGACTGCAGCATCTTTTAAGTTTGTGGCAGAAGCAGCGAATTCACAGCTGAATCTGTTTGGAATTGGCTTAGTGTTCAGTGTTAGTCGGCAGCCTTTTATTTCGGTGCTTTATGTTACACGTGCTCTTCTTTTTTTATTTTTTTT